GCCGCGCCAAAAATGGGGCTACGGCTTGCAATAATAAACGTGCGTCTGTATGGAAGCGGCTGAGCCTACCATCCTTAGACACGGCTAATCGTAGCCATAACAGTTCAAACGCGGCCTAATTACCACTTGGGCAAAGGCACTGAAGGCGCCCCCCCCCCCCCCCCCCCCCGTCCTAAAAATCCTGGATCCGCCCCGCGTAACTTGTTATATTATATTACTGCTTGTCCGTACATTTCGTGGGTCTACGTGACGTCCAGAGCAGAGGATGTGCGTCTCTATAAACACATCTGAAACCACTCGGATATCCAGTATTCAGTGAATCGGAATATTTAGGTGGATGTTGGTGACCCTAAGCCAAGGACCATTGTCGGCCTCTTCCTGCCAAGATATTTTGGAGTGCATGTGGTTGCTGTCAGCTTCGTCGCTCCCGAGAATAGCAGCAGGATTTGGGTCGTTAGATCTTTATCCATGTCCTTCGGCGGTTTTGTTTTACTATGAAATCTTGTCTTAGTAAAACGGATGATCGAACTTTACAGCGTAGTGTCCCTGGCCTCTTTGTCTTGCAGACCGGTTAATTTGTGTGCCCTCAGTTTTCTTTCTCGGTAGAGAGTTTAGGGCTCCTGTACTTTGCGGTTTGTAGCGAGTAAGTGTCTGACATGGGCCTGGACTTGGAACTTAAATTGTTGAGAAAACTTCGATTAGATTGGACCAGAAAGTCTCTCTGTTTGGCAGTGGAGTGGATGGAACCTTTTGGCGATGGACTTCAGGACCACTTTTTAGTTCACGGTCATCTGTGAAGGGAAAATCACCAAAAAGTAAAAGTCAATTGCCAACCCCACTAAAACTCTGCAGAAAATGAAAGATGGTTAGTCATGTTTTTATTTGATGTGGGTCTTGACCAACTGTGAGGCTTTTGGGTCAGCCAATTACAGTTTATAAGATGGAATTTTGCGTCGGGGTGATATAAATTAAAGGGCAAAACCTAATTTAATAAATCACAGTTTAATTATTCACAGTAAAACAAACTCACCTCCCGAAAAGTGAAGTTCTCAAATCTTCATGCAGCCATTTTACAAATGTCATCCCTCCACTTTCTCATTTTATCAAGTCTACCCTCAGATGGAAACCCAATATTTACACAATCCACCCTTTTTTAAGCCAAATGATCTCCCTTTTCAAGAAAAGTTGTGGGGGGCACTCATGCTAATTATGCTGGCGTACAAATTCTCACTTCAATTAATTTTACACTGTACTGTGCACCCTGAGGGGTCCAGGCCAGAAAATAGGCTTGAAATTGCCTCTTACAAAAGTCATCGGATTACCCCAAAAATTGAACAGAAAATTAAAGATGATGAAATAAGCAATTATATTTCGGTGTGTGTCCCAAGCACCTTGGAGAGTTGTGAGTATTTGTAATAATTTTGGAAGTGCGCATAGTTACCACTGAGGTCTATGACTGTCTATTTACTGGTCTTCAACCTGAGGGAACCAGGATAGAAATCGTCAGGCCGTGTCAGTCGGCCCACTTGGCGACGGCTGGAATTTACACACGCGCCTATGGAAGCGGCTGCAACCAGGGGCGGTGGACATGGGCGGATCCAGGGGAGGGGGGCCAACGGGGGCCATGCCCCCCCCCCCCGTGACGTCGCAGTAAAGGCAGGCACTGCGTACACCATCATCTTTTCCTGAAAAAAAAAATTCTTTATTATTTTTGGGGGGCGTGGCCACGCTGCCCCCCCCCCCCCCGATCCGGCCGCCCTAGGACCTTCAAACACACCGCACGAACACACCCTCCGTCCACGCCGGAAGTAACATCTCTTGTGACGCCCATGAATTTGACTACTAGTTGTAGAGATACCATTCTTTTTTTATTGCGAGAGGGGCACTGTTGCTTTTGATGGCCAGCTCATCAGTGACCATTTTATTCGGGTGAAGAGGAACACTATTATTTTCAAGGCCAGTTTTCCATGACAAGGGCACAATTTTAATGTTGCGAGCGGGGCACTAATGAAATTGTGCTTTCGAGGGGTAGTTAAATATCTCGAGAAGTTATCGTGAGCTGAGAGGAGCGCTATTGTTTTTGATAGCCAATTTTCCATCTGTGCAATCATGTTTTTATTCCTCACTAATGGTGTAATTGAGGGGCAGTTTTCCATTACAAGAGAGGAGACAATTTAGGCCCTATAATTTCGTAGCGCGAACATAATAATTATATGCTTTCATGACCCGTTTGGGGGCAATTTTGTTTTCATCTCGAGGGGCACATTTATAACCGCGAGAGGGGCACTTTTATTGCCCTTGGAAAATCTGGGGTGGGCGGAGCAAGTGCCCCCCCCCCCCCGGTTCCGCCGCCCCTGGCTGCCACCGCTCCTCGTGCCGTACGCAGCTTCGTGAGTAATGATGTCCGTGGAGTTGAGTGGACTGCGTTGATGGCGCCCTCTATGGACGTAAGTGTTCTTTTGCAAAACGAAACAAATTCACGTGCATCCCATAATGTGGATAACACTTTTGTTGTGATCCGCGGACAGACCTTTTCGCTGTTTGTGTTCAGAAAAGTACATGAGTAATTTGTACTAAAAGAAAGCTTGATGACGGCGCTTTCATATCCTACATTTTGAAAGTGCTACAGGCAAAACTTCATTCAAAAATTGGTCCTACCATTTGGTTTTCGTCTTTTTTTTGCTCACCCTGTATAGCGAACGGAGTACATGGGAACATGCTCGTATTGAAACAAGACTACACGTGGTAAGATTTCCCAGATGCTGTGTAGCATTCATCCAAAGACACTTTCATTCTAATCCGTTTGTTAATAATTAAAATACACGTAAATATATTTATAAATTTACATTTCATTTACATTAAAGGGGCGCCCCAAATATTTCCCTATTGTTTCCATAATGCGCCGGTGGAGCCCTTCTTAACGGTTTTAGGCCTACACAGAGTGTTGGTTGGTCATTTTGTCAATTAATATAACAGGACGTTCTACTACTTTTGCCCATTTTTTTCAGAAAACTATTTTTGGGATAGGCCTAGGCCTATCTACATATTTCATACAAATACAATCAAATTTGGTGCAAATATTCTTCGGGTCATATTCATCCAATCAAAATGACCAATGCATCAAGAGTCACCGTTAGAGGGCGCTAAACCCACTTTTGTGGGCAAAATCGTGTTTTTGAAGTTGTTTTCAACTTAAAAAAAATGCCAAGTAGGCTACTTACGGCATTTACATTTTGTATGCAAGAACTGTCAAAAAATACGCCCAAACGAAGACAACTGTCGTCACCGACACCACGAAGTAACACTCATGTACATACCAGTAAAAATTAGCAATCGGAGAAAACGGCATCTAAAGTTGAACGCCTTCTAGAACAACACTTTGCGTCAAAACTACAGAGTATTTTCAGTTGAGTTTCTCGTTGTAGACACTTGATGTATTGACGTTATTAAATTTGCTGTTTTTGACCTGTTTGTGTATTAAAACAACAAGAAATAAGAGAAAAAAGATGAGTGCTAGTTCGTGAAACCAAAAAAGCTGCGAAACTGTAAAATTTCGTTTTCACGAAGTAGCACGCTTCAATGTATTACAACACTAGAAGAGTGTTTATACTTCGTGGAAACGGAGGTCAGCGCGCGAGCGCTCAAACAACAAGAGTGTTACTTCGTGAAAACGTTTTTGCTCGCATTTGAGCAGCGTGCGCGCCATGCATTGCAATGGTGAATGGAACTTGAGTGTTACTTCGTGAAAACGAAAATTGTCACTTTCGCGCAAAAGTTGCCATGGATACTATAGCGTAATTATTAAAGTAAAGCTCTTGAAGCATTGAAGTTTCGTGCAATGGTAGGCCTTGGTGAATAATGTTTAAAAATCCAAAAACTGGAAATCGAAAAAAATATGGTTTAACACGGTAGGGTGTTGCTTCGTGGTGTCGGTGACGCTGTGCAGAAAAGGTGAAAATCATGAAAAGTCTTCGCACGGGATTCCTAGCATTCCATTGTAGTTGTTCACATGACATTGAATTTTAGACACCAAATTTCATGCCGACCGGCCGAAGCGTTCCGTTCAGTTGCACACCCAAGGGGGGGGGGGGGGGGGGGGGGGCTCGGGAGGCTTGAGGCCCCCTCCCCACTCGAGGTAATTTTCTTTAGTCCCACGATTTGACTTCGGTGATATGTGGCCTATTTTCGAGTATAATAGGGGTAAGTGGTGCCACCAACGTCAAAATAGTTCCCCCCCACAAAAAAAATTGAACAAAATTATTTTTGAGCCCCGCCCTCCCCCCCCCCCCCCCCCCCCCAAGCAAAACCTGGGTGCGCCACTGGTTCCGTAGTTTTACGGGGTCCCATTATGCCTCGATTCAAAAGTGCTTTTTCTGCATCAAGTAGGCCTAGCCTAGGCCTATATAGCAACTGTCTATAAAATGCTCTCAAAGTGTTTACAAAGCGCCCTCTAGTGCATGCACGGAGTCCTTTGAACAGTATATCACGAACAAAGACGATATACCAAAAACAACCTACTCCAGTTATATGTACATTTTAATATATAACCCAATTGAAGTCTCGTGGAGCTCCTCGTCTTGACTATATTTTTTTTCAAGGAATAGTTTGTGCCCTTGTTCTTATCCAATTACACTTACTACATTTCGATATTTTGCTAAATGGATTTCGACTACCTGTGCGATGTAATAAGTCTCCTCTTCTCTTGTTTTCTACTCAAAATTAAATGCAGCACAAAGGCAACCTTCTAACAGAAAGCGAAGTTCCAATTTAATACACAAACGTAAAGTTAAACAAGTTGCAGAGAAATGTGAATAAAGTGACTCACAACCCTCGTTTGATGTTTGATGTTTAAACAATTTTTGCCGGACGGGTTTAGGTCGTCGTCTGCGGGTAGCACACCCTGATATTCCCGGCCTCGCTCGCTGCTAGCGGGTCGCAGATAGATATTTCCGGCCTTGCTAGTACGTGTTTATCCGTCATTCGTTCCAAATACCGCAAAACTTTTGCGTGTACACACGTCATCCGACGTGAACTGGTTTTAACACTACATCCCCAACACAAAGCAAAGTACTAATACAAATAATTAAAATCGATACTTATTATCGAAACTCAGTTCAATAACTTACACTTCACATACAAAGTGCCAGTTTGGGCCGACCGATATGGAGTCAGGCACGATTTGGGCAGCAGTACGCGCGTGTGCGCCATTCTGGTCTCGGCGTGTTTGCTATGGTATCTTGGTAACATTCGTCGCCATAATGATACTCACTACATCCAGCAACTGATGCATCGCGGTTTGGTGTGGCCAAGTAGTACCAGTCCCAACTTCGGTATCCGTGTTCGTAAGCCTCCTTCAGCTCGGCTAGGGTGCAGAGATGAGCTGCCAGATCGGAACAACCGCTGGCCTGCCCGGCACGATCTGCGAGATCGTAGCTCTCCCGAGTAAGGACTGGGTGTCGGTAGCTCATCGGGAGGGAGCAGCATAAGCCTGGAGACGGGCTGGTCAGCGGCAGGTCGTGGTAGGTCACTCCGGTCTCGGTCAGCACGGCCTGGCTGTCAGGGTCAGCGTACCATGAGAGAGGCGTGGCAGGGTAGCCCTCCTTAGAGGCGTGGTCAAGTTCCCACTGAAGGCAGAGGTGTTGGCCGGTCTTCCTGCACTCAGAGGCGGCTGATGCGTGTGTGCGGTACCAACAGTCGGTCAGGCTTATTGCAACTGAAAAGATAGCAACAAGAAGCGAAAGCGTAGCGATATATATAATTTTTTTTGGCGCTGTAGAGGATGTAAAAGAAACTATCAACATTCACCGTCATCTATCCATCTTCTTATAACAACAACTTAATAAAGTGTAAAGTTTGCTGCTTTGAGTTAAAAAAAGAAAGAAAGAAAGTATGCCAATTATATTTAGAAAAAAAAAATAATAATCATTCGGAACGATGCATTGGAGCTCAACTACCCGCTGTCAAATTTAAAGAATAAAAAAGAGTAACCACTAAGGCCAAAAAAAAAAAGTCTCCGGTTTCTGGTATGCGTGCGCGTCGCCGTAGCCATGCGCGTCGGCAAAATGAAAAAGTTTTTTTTTCAATGAAAGATGATGTCTCAAAACCGCCAAACTCACTGGTTTGACTGGAATCCTGCTGCTGCACAATTTTAACGTGTTTTTAGATTAGGTTATGGTCGAGAATAAGCTTTATGTGACCTCGCTGGACTCCCATATATTTGTACTAAGTTTAGTCGGGCACCATTTGCAGTCATCAGCACACATTTGAAGCAAAAAAATCAGGTTAAAAAAAAAAAGGCGCGTCACCGCACCACTTTTTGGGCAAGCTCCATACCAGAAACCGGAGACTTTTTTTTTTGGCCTAACTAGTAACTACCAACAATGTGACCAGATTGGTTTGTTGTTAATTTGTCTGTTTTATTTCTCACTACAATCTGGAAGCATTCTCTTACCTTCTCTTCCATTCGTAAGCAGCTCAGCAAAACTCGGCTGCATGGCAAAACAGAAAAAGACGACGTGACTGGTAATTGCGGCTTTGAACATGGACGTGAAAACAATGGCTTAGTTGATTCATCCTCTTTATTATCTGATAGACTTATCGAAATTTCGGCTTTTTTATTGGTTGGTTTTGATTTTCGTCACTTTAGCATTTTCCCTTCGAACTTGGGCTCTACTACAAAAAGCACAACAAACAAATTAAAGGATAACATCCTACCTCCTCCGGACCATAGTAGTTGGTACCGGTTCTCTCAATCAGAGCTAACGGGTATCGCGACGCTGTAGCCCCGTTCAGCTCACACCGCCTCTCCCCCTCCGAGTAGTGGAAAGAAAAACAACAGCGATCGGCTAGACACACCCGAGCGCAGACAAACTGACATCTTACCGTCAGGTTACGGTAGACGTGGCCAGGCAGGACGCGGTTCGCTACGCCGTTGAATTCACGGTCCAGGACGCGTGAGCAACCCCTGGTGCACGGTTTCAATTGCATTTCTTGGCAGTGTGACCCGAAGAAAGCCTCGGTCACCAGGCCAGACATCGGGAGGAGAAGGAGCAAAAATAACATTTTCTCTTTGCTTTCGTTTTCCCCCAATTCTGTATCTTCCTCCAATAGTCTTTATGAGTTTTTCCGCAGCTCGTACGTTGTTGGCAATGATGGAGATGTTGAAGGATTGAAATGAGGCAATTAATGTAGACCCTGGTGCTATTAAACCCAAGTCTTAATTTTCGACCCTGGCGGTGGCATTTGCGGTGACGCCAGTCTTCTGGATTGTTATGGAAACCAGAAGGGTAAATTGAACGACAAAAGGGAGACATCGTGGACTTCATTATTTGCCATGGCAACCGTTGATGAATGAAACGTCGGGTATAGGCCTAGCTCGGTCATTCAATTTTACTACATTGGTAGGCTTATTGACAGCTCGACTCAAAATTAATTTTGATCGTCGTATAATATGATTGTCGGAAATAAGTACGAGGGTAAGGCGCTGATGGCAAGATTTTGTGTGATAAAGGAACGCCGCTGTAATATTGAACGTAAAAGTAAATGGTGAGAAGCAGACAAGGATACAATACAATGAAAACGCCAATTTTAATCCGAAACTTAATTGTCAACCAGAATTTAATACCCGACATAAAATTCTGAAAATTCGTTTGAGATTGTTGTTATTTTTCCTTTTTTATTCTGCAGTAAATTAGTACAGAAGTATGAGACCTTAAAATATTGTATTACTTGTGGTTGGGTTCCAGAAACGACGCTCCCGTTGGAAAAATGTGTACGTAAAAGATGAGGCGACATTTTGTTTTCAGTTTATGCACCGGGTCCCGTCTTGTTGATAGAAAATTAATATCATTTAGAGTGTGAATTATTCTTAGAGGTACAGGGAATGATAAAAACTGCAAAAGCGCAGAGATTCCGAATGACCCTATGCGACAGTCGCGGAGTGTCAGTTGCAAAAGCACACTTCAAAGTGTTGACCCTGGGTCAAAGAATTAGAGACCAAAGTGTTGACCCTGGGTCAACGGGTGGACAAAGTTTGTCCAATGAGAGCTCAAAGTGTTGACCCTAGGTCAAAGAATGAGAGCTCAAAGTGTTGACCCTGGGTCAACGGGTTGACAAAGTTTGTCCAATAAGACCATAAAAGTGTTGACCCTGGGTCAAAAAATGAGAGACCAAATTGTTGACCCTGTGTCAACGGGTGGACAATGAGAGCTCAAAGTGTTGACCCTAGGTCAACGGGTAGACAAAGTTTGTCCAATGAGAGCTTTAAGTGTTGACCCTTGGTCAATGGGTGGACAAAGTTTGTCCAATGAGAGCTCAAAGTGTTGACCTTAGGTCAAAGAATGAGAGCTCAAAGTGTTTGCCCTTGGTCAACGGGTGGACAAAGTTTGTCCACTGAGAGCTCAAACTGTTGACCCTAGGTCAAAGAATGAGAGCTCAAAGTGTTGACCCTGGGTCAACGGGTTGACAAAGTTTGTCCAATAAGACCATAAAAGTGTTGACCCTAGGTCAAAAAATGAGAGACCAAATTGTTGACCCTGTGTCAACGGGTGGACAATGAGAGCTCAAAGTGTTGACCCTAGGTCAACGGGTAGACAAAGTTTGTCCAATGAGAGCTTTAAGTGTTGACCCTTGGTCAACGGGTGGACAAAGTTTGTCCAATGAGAGCTCAAAGTGTTGACCCTAGGTCAAAGAATGAGAGCTCAAAGTGTTGACCCTTGGTCAACGGGTAGACAAAGTTTGTCCAATGAGAGCTAAAAGTGTTGACCCTGGGTCAAAGGGTGGACAAAGTTTGTCCAATGAGAGCTCAAAGTGTTGACCCTAGGTCAAAGAATGAGAGCTCAAAGTGTTGACCCTTGGTCAACGGGTAGACAAAGTTTGTCCAATGAGAGCTAAAAGTGTTGACCCTGGGTCAAAGGGTGGACAAAGTTTGTCCAATGAGAGCTTAAAGTGTTGACCCTTGGTTAATGGGTAAACAAAATCCGTCCAATGACGTGTAAGATTGGGAACTTTTGTTCAGACGCTGCAACATTTTATCCAAGCCCAAATCATAGACACTTTCGTTCCAATTCATTCATTTGTGATTTGAATTGAGCATAAGAATATTATTTACATTGATAACTTTACATTATATTTACATTAATATGAGTAAGCCTAATGTTAACCCCATCATAATGTGTATGTGCGACTGCCGATGTTCTTAACATTTGTCAGTAATACTTGTTATCCGTCATGACCTCCCATTCATTTGATTGCACTGTGGTGACCACAAGAGGGCGCATTACTATATTGGACCATTTGTTGTCAGAAAACAGCATTTTTGGCATAATGTTTCATTATAAAGTCACCGTTGGAGGGTGTGGGTGCGGGGGAACGGCAAAGTCATCATTTTTTCATGAAATTAAATGTTTCAACCAAATTGGCACGAATGAAGTACTTGAAGTATTGGTATAAGTGCTGGCAATATTTGTCATGTTAGAACTGTCATTTTATTTGTAGTACATTTTGTAGTAAAGGTGAAAATTGAAAGCGGTCTAAAAGATGTACCAAGAAGCAACATATACTCTAGTTAGGTTTATGTAAATTTAAATTGAAGAGATCCACATTCATTTTGGCTGTACTTTTTACAAATATAGCTTGTACCACAGGCTTGTTCTATTACACTTTTACACTGCGTATTTTCTAATTACCTTTTCTCTACCTGTGCGACGTTCTAAGTTTCCTCTTCTCTTCTTTTCTGCTATAAATTCAGTTCAGCAGAACGCAAAGTGTGTTAAATTTCAACAAATTAAAAAAATCAAAGTCTTACCTACTTCAAAGAATATTGACAAAGTGAATAACATCTCCCGTTTGAATCAGACACATTTAAGGATAATACTTTAAAACAGCTTTCAAAATCAGCAATTAATTATTACAATGATAATGACTATTCCGGAGCTTTTAAATGATAGCAAATGGTTTAGGCTAAAGTTCCTAGAAAATCTGAACAAAAATAATAATACTTATGCCGATAGTGTGCCCTTCCATGTCCATAACTCAAACGCTTATCACAGTCCTCTTAACACTACATCCCCACCGCAAATTAAAATACTAATTCAATATAATTATACTCGATACTTGTTTATCGAAACGCAGTTCAATAAAATAAACTTCAACTACAAAGTGCTAGTGTAGGCCGACCGATGGAGAGTCAGGCACGATTTGGGCAGCAGAGCACTTCCCTAGGCGCACCTGGCCTTGGTGTATTTCCTATGGTATCTTGGTAACATTCGTCGCCATAATGATACACACCACATCCAACAACTGATGCATCACGGTTGGGTATCTCGAAGTACAGCCAGTCTACCGATCTGTAACCTCGATCGTAAGCCTCCTTCAGCTCGGCCAGGGTGCAGGGATGAGCTGCCAGGTCGGAACAACCGCTGGCCTGCCCAGCACGGTCTGCGAGCTCGTAGCTCTGCGGAGTAATGACTGGGTCTCGGTAGGTCATCGGGAGGGAGCAGCACAAGCCGGGAGACGGGCTGGTCAGCGGCAGGTCGTGGTAGGTCACTCTGGTCTCGGTCAGCACGGCCTGGCTGTCAGGATCAGCGTACCATGAGCCGTAGGGAGGCGTGGCCGGGTATCCCTCATTAGAGGCGTGGTCAAGTTCCCAACGAAGGCAGAGGTGTTGGCCGGTCTTGTTGCACTCGGAGGCGGCTGATGGGTGATTATAGAACCGACAGTCAGTCAGGCTTATTGGACCTGAACAATGGGCCAAAACAAAACTTGTTTAGATTTTGAGGAATTCGATTTTTTTTGTATTGTTTTAAAAAGTGATATCTTTAGTTAACATTATTCGTGACTTTTTGTTTTCTTGTTATTTGTTATTGCTGTAAAAGATTGTATATACCAAAAAACTTTGTTTAACCTTGTCACACAGCAAAACAGATTAAATTCTAAAATTTTCAATTTGAACTGCTCCAAGTTATATGTTCAGCATTAAATCAATCTGTTGAAAAAGTGTACATTCATCTTGCAAAGTCCTTGCGTGCTTACTTATTTTACAGGTCATTAATTTTTTTCAAAGCGTTGTTACCGAAAATTAAAGGGAAATTACGTTCTGGAATACAACCAATTGAGATACAAAACGCGTTTAAACGAAAGAAAATAGGATTATGTATATTTGAAAGAAGGACGTAAACGTCCACACAACCATGCTTTAAAAACTGGGCGTTTTGTGTTATCCTTGCGAAAACCATGCAAAAACGGGGCTTGAAATTTTGATTCTCAACTCGAACCAATGAGTGTTATTAGTTGTGAATCCTGCCGCACAGTACATCGCATTCTGCAGACGTACCAGCGAGAAACAACATTGTACGGGTGGTGTGTGTAAATTATTATCGAGGGCGGATCCGAGGGGGGGGGCAAAAAAAAGTGAACCCAATTTTATTTTAAGTGACGTCGTAATAAAGGCAAGCACTGCGTACACCACCATCTTTTCTTTTAAAAAAAATGGTCAAAGTGGTCAGAAATTGCCTCAGATCGCACCACAGAGCATCTCAGAATCCCCCCCAAAAATCGGGGACCTTAAGCGGGCCCCTATGAAGCCCGGAAAGGGACAGGGTGGATTTTTTTTGGTAATTTGCTAATTCGTTCCCACGAATTGCTAACTTGTTCCCACGAATTACTCATTCGTTCGCACGAATTGCTAACTCGTTCGCACAGTACGAATTGCTATTTCGTTCGCACGAATTGCTATTTCGTTCACACGAATTGCTATTTCGTTCGCACGAATTGTTAATTCGTTCCCACGAATTGCTATTTCGTTCGCACGAGATCCTAATTCGTGGGAACGAATTGCTAACTCGCGCATCCGGGAACGCGTTAGTTAGTAATTCGTGGGAACGAGTTGGTAATTCGTGGGAACGAATTAGCAATTCGTGCGAACGACTTACCAATTCGTGCGAACGAAATAGCAATTCGTGCGAACGAATTAGCAATTCGTGCGAGCGAAATAGCATTTCGTGGGAACGAATTAGCAATTCGTGCGAACGAATTAGTAATTCGTGCGAACGAATTAGCAAATTACAAAACAAAAACCACCCTGTCCCTTCCCGGGCTTCATAGGCCCGAACCCAATGCCGTCATTTTTTGGGACCAACTTTTTAGGGGACCAAAATATTGTGATCTGGATCCGCCCCTGATTATTATACATGTGTGCGACACACACAAAACGTACATCATACATTGAATAGAAACGGCTGGAAATACGTATGCCACAAAATGTCCGCCGCGTCCGATGTAAACAACCGAGTTTTTTTCCATCTTTTCTCGGGAATGGTAAGACATTAGACGTTTGAAATAGGATAAGTAAACAATCCAAAACGTAAAATTTTCGGGAAATTTCAGACAATAATGTCTTTTTAATCCGGTTAGCAAGTCACCAATAATACCCGGCTCACATTTCTAGTTTATTGATTTCTTGCTTTTTTTTTCCATTCATTTTTAAAAAATATACAACTTTACCTTTTTCCTCCGTTTCATTTGTTAGCAGATTGGCAAAACTTGCCTGCATGAGAACAAATTAAGAGGAGAAAAAGAAAGCTTTTAAACATGGAGGGTTTTTTTTTAGGAAAGGGTGGTCCTGTAGGAGAAAGAGGATGTAATGCAAATCACTCTCTAAATTATGGAACTACGTTCCACACTTTTTTCGGCCCGTCTTTATATACAGCAACAAATCGTTCTCTACTGATCCAACCTCTGGAAATATTCTAGATTTCAATTATCCGCACATTTTGTTTTGCTCTTCCACAAAAGGTGAAACTTGCTAGTAACTCATGATCTCAAACAAACTGGCAACTGCGTAATCAGACTCCCATCTCCTGTCTCCTGAATTTCGTCTTGAAAGTAAACAAAAACTACTGACATGACGTCATCATGATGAATCGACCCGACCAGTGACGGCGGAACGGTTTTCAAACTGGGGGGGGGGGGGGGGGGGGGGGGGGGGGGGGGGAGGGGTTACCCCCCCCCCCCCCCCCCCCCCCCCCCCCCCCCCCCCCACCCCCGCTGGCTACGCCTATGACTAGACAACAAATTAAAGTGGTTTTCGCTACACTGCCCTCCGCTGGGGAGAAGGCGCGTCTCTGCGCCTTAATTTAAAAACAATATTCGTGATTAGCTCCACAAAAATTAATTTAGTAATCCATACTGCCCTTTTAAAGTTACAAGTGTATAATTTTGTCAATTTTTGTTTAAATTCGTGACGTCGAGGCTATCACCTTACTGCTTTCGTAAACCACTGGTGTTAAACAAAATACATCAAAATTTATAGCGATCAAAAATGCATAGCTGATAGTGAAAAAATTAACAGCAATTAAATTTCAAATACTTGCAGGCAGAGCCATTGGTTGGTAATTGTGACCATCTCAGAGGAATTCTGACCTCTAGTCATGTACATGTATAACTGGCAAGTTGGTGTGATTATTAATTTTCAATAAACAGTTCAAACTTGTATTCTCCAATGTCCAAGTGTTGGTGTGCGCCCCAAAACTGGCATGAGTTCAAGCAGCTGCCTAACAGAGAAAATTAATCACAATAAATATTGTCCAGTTCTCATCCACTGTGGTGGCTGCCGCCGGCGGTAGCCACGTGACGAGGGTTGGATGTCTTCAGCCATTAGCGGGTCTGGAGATGTATTTCTTCCTCCGTAGTCGATGGGCCGGTCGTCATCAGTATGTCGACTGCTCATCACTCCCAGTCTAGTAGAGTCCAGTCCCGAGGCCCAGCTCAGATACTCCCCGTCGCCAGCACAGTCACGTCTGCTGTTTCCCTGGTAACGTCCTGAGCATCGACCTCTCCACTCAAGTCATCTGGTTCAGCTTGACCATCTACAGTTCGCTCGAACTTCTGATGTCAGCTCCATCCCTGATGCTATCTCAAGAGTGGACTTCTGGCTCCCTCAAGGTCTCTGCATTGAAATCATTACTAACAAAACATGGTTTCAATCTATCAAAATGGACTACTGTCCTGTAACCACTTTATAAGTGCCTTTTAAAATCACCAGGGTATACAAAATATGCAAATTCACTCTGTGTGTGCCTACGACTACTATTTAAGGGGGGGGGGGACGACTACTATTTAAAGTGGGGGGGGGGGGGGGGATTACAGAAACTGGAGTAAAAGTAGGCTTATTTCTTTGTCATAGTACATTTACATGCGTGCCCAGTGTGTGCTCAGTACAGCCCATGGGGGAGGAGCTAGGACTGGGTGCAAAACTAACTTAAACACCCACGGGCTGAGGTGCGTCCCCACTTTAGCCGCACCTAACAAATCTATATTACGATCTAACTCTTCTTGTAACATAGCCATGGTACTCTCCAACTGGACTTTAAGAACATCTCTTCTTGAATCCATACTGGCTTGCCAAAAAAAAATACTAAATATTTCTATGGTGAAAGAAAGGGAAAAAATTACAAACGCTTTGACCGTGGATCCCACCGCTGCCACCAAAAACTGTAACGAAACCTACTCAGGGATCCGCCAGTTAAGTGAAAGCAACGCAAAAATAATTTTAGAAGGAACAAGACGTTTCAATTCTGTTAGCCACTGATAATTTTCTTGTGACTTTTAATTCAAAAACACTTGAAATATTATTATTATTATTTACATCAAATTTGGCAGTATGGATTCAGTGATTATAAAAAATAAGAATGATTGAATAACGCGAAGTACATGTCGGACAATTGTAAGGACATATACATATAGTTTGAATCCTGGGCGAACAGCTCAACCAAGCCCACTAAAAATGTGTTCTAGTTCCATTTCAAATTTATAGTTGAACACAAACAAGGCCAAAAAAGGGAAAGAGAATAACAAACTAGTTTGCTTGTACTTCCTGTGCATATTGAACCATCAAATGGCAAATCGCTTTTTAATAAATATTTCCTAGATTGCTATCCAAGGGGGACGAATCAACCCCTCGCCGATAAGCAACCGGACCCTACCAAAAAGCACCCACCAAAACAAGAAAGCCTCATGCACTGAACAATTTTTACCCCTCAGCCGAGAGGCTCGATATTCTTGTGCAAAAATGAATGACAATGGATATCTCTCACAAAATTGTGCGATGGAATCATGAGTATTTTAAGAGATATAGGTCGCAGTGTGTCAGAGTAGGAGGTATCTGTTCTGATGTTAAAACTATCAATACTGGTGTTCCTCAGGGATGTGTTATCTATACCAACGACTGCTTATGTTGCAGCTCTGATTGTAACATCATAACATACACCGATGACACAGTACTCACTGGGTACTTGACAAATGACTCTACGGAGTACGTAACTGAGACGAGGAATTTCATTGAGTGGTGTAACCGCCACTATCTTTCGATAAATGTACAGAAAACTAAAGAAATTATCTTTGATTTTCGGCGAGGTGCTGAGGCTCATGAACCAATTACGATCAATGACCACAATGTAGAAAGAGTCAATGAATATAAGTATCTTGGTACTGTAGTGGATGATAAACTCAACTGGAAAAGGAATACTGGCATGATATGCTGCAAAGCTAATCAACGCATGTATTTTATTAAGGAAACTTAAGCAATTCCATGTCGACCGCACTATTCTGCGTTTATCTTATAAGATAAAACAGAGTGCTCTGACTTTTAACCTTTCGGTTCCCGGTGACACAGCAGAACGGGCAGAAGCTCGACCGAGTAAGGAAAATTGCTCAGCGTGTCATGGGTTTAGCCTTGCCCTCCTTGGATACACAGCTTGAAACACAAGCAGCTTCTAAATTAAGCATAATAATGAAGGACCAGACTCATCCATTTTTTATTTGCTTTGTTTTTAATCGTTCAGGCATCAGAATCCGTCCTCCACAGACAAACTCACTCCGTTTTTGACAATCTTTTATCCCAAATTCCATCCATCTCTTCAGTCACTTAACCAAGCGATAAAATGGCCAATGACTTAATAAATATGAGTATTTCAATCACATGTGCATGTACTGGCTTTTATATAATAAAATACATTTGTAAGTACTGGTAGTAAATTGTAAGTATAAATTAAAAACAATTTCATTTCGTCTTTCCTTTCTTATACTTGGATGTATGTTGTATTATGATTTATGTAACAGGGTTTTGATGTAATATTAGTGTTTTAATGTAATTGTGTTGCCAATGGAATATGATTATCCGTATTTATAAGATGCGGACAATAAATCTTTTTTTTTTATTGTCAAAAATTTAAGGGCCAGTTTTGTTTTCATCGCGTTTTCATCATGTTTTCACCCCCCCTCCCCATTTTCGGCGTCTGCACAGTGGCATAAGCGGGGGGGGGGGGGGGGGGGGGGGGGTTGCACATAGCATCTCAATTGATGGTAACTGACAAATCACATGACGTGAAAGAGCAAAATCCAAAAACAGACCTCTCATATCTGCAAACCTAATGTGGACTATAGTGGAACTCCGTGTACTCCTACAAAGATGAAACTTGATGCAACAATTTTATAGTGGTTAATGGGTGAAAACAGCTGGTTAAGTAATGAGACTAAGATAATACTAATACTAAAAGTATCGGAGTCTTATATAGCGCACGTATCTACCAACTATTAGGTACTCAAGGCCTGGAGATATGTCTATTATTAAAGAAAGGTAAATAAAGCTTATGGGAAATATGAGACCCATTATGTGTTTCACGATATAATTTTTTTTTAAAATAAACCTGAAGGGACTTATTAGCATTTACGAACAAAAAACCTAAAGTGACCGCTTCTAATGAATGCAGTACATCAAGCAAGCACGACTAAATCTAGAACCAATCGGCTGTAGGTAGGTGAATCTTCGCGTCGTTATGCATTCTCGTTCTCATACAAGTACGCTATGTAAAAACAAACGTTAACGAACAAGGAGATCTAGGCACGAAAATGCTGGATGTGAGTAAATGAAATTCGTTTTTATCCATCTCAAACTGATTTCTCACCATTTTTTTTCTTGAGGAATGCCAAGATAGAATACCAAAAATGAAGTTTCTTGAGGTGATTATGGTTAGTAATCATTCTGCCAACAAATTATTGCAAGACTAAAAGGGCAAGCCAGTGTAAACGCCCATAGACGGGCCGCGCAAGGGTTCTGGAGCTGAGCCGCGTAAGTTACTTCCAGGCCCTCAGTTCTGTAGGTTGTGGGTTCGAATCCAGCCTAAGGTTTGGCTGCGGGTGCCCTTGGGCCAATGAGTCCTTTAACCCTAAAAGGGCCGGGGCGGAATCCGCACCCCCCCTCAACTTTTTCCGCGATAGCTTTGAAAAAAAAATTTTCAACCATAATTCCAAAACCATTTGACCTATAGTCACGACATTTCTTGGTTATCTTCATGATTAGTTGCTCTATGCATGTACGGGGACTCAAAATGTTTCGTCACTCGATAGCCGAGATCTTAGCTGGGGGGGGGGGGGGGGGGCGCCCCCCCCCCCCCCCCCAGCTAAGAGATGGTCAAAATAACCCGGCCTTTTTAGGGTTAAGTTTATTTTAAAACATTTGTAAAACCTAAAAGACATTTTGGTCTTCTATTTAAATTTTAGTTTTCACCAAAATACGGCAACATTTGGGCTGTTTTTAATAATTTTGCATCCAATGTATACGAGTACACCGAGTTGGTCCGTATGTACTTTAGATTTTCGGAAGAGAGAAGTCAATTTTTGACAGGATATATCCATTTACAGGGTGAGTAAAAAAAATACAGGGTGAGTAAAAAAAAAAAAAGGAAACCCAAATGTCGGGACATTTGTTTCAGTGAAGTTCTGCATGTAGCACTTTCAAAATCTAGGATATTAAAGCCCAATTCATAAGCTTTCTTTTAGCCCAAGAATCATTCAAATTACTAATGCACTTTTCAAGTTACGGAATTTTAAACACAACCAACGTTTCAAAGTTATGTCCACGGATAACAAAAAAGGTGTGCGTTCTTTCAGCAAAACGTACACAATTCACACACATCCCTATGTGATTTGTTTTTGTTTTGCTAAAAGAACACTTACCTTTTAGGGATCTGTGGACAGAATTTTAGAACGGCGGTTGTGTTTAAAACTCCGTAACTTGAAAATTACATTAGTGATTTGAATGATTCTTGTACTAAAAAAACATATCGGAATTAGGCTTTCATATCCTAGATTTTCAAAGTGCTACATGCAGAACTTCACTAAAACAATGGTCCCAACATTTGGGTTTCGCTTTTTTTTACTCACCCTGTATAAGATCGAATATTTACATGAATGAAATATTTCACCTGTTCTGGACCGTAGTAGTTGGTACCGGTTCTCTCAATCAGAGCTAACGGGTATCGCGACGCTGTAGCCCCGTTCAGCTCACACCGCCTCTTCCCCTCCGAGTAGTGGAAAGAGAAGCAACGATCATCGATAAGACACTCCCTGCCGCACAGGACCCGCGAAGCTACCGTCAGGTTACCGTAGACGTGGCCGGGCAGGACGTGGTTCGCTATGCCGTTGAAATAACGCTCCAGGCCCCGTGAGCAACCCTTGATGCATGGCTTGTCTTGGCAGTGCGGTCCTACGTTCAAAGCCTCGATCACTAGGCTGTAGATTGGTATGAGGAGACACAGCTGCAGCATCTTGGTCCGCTTTGCTCCGAATTATTGAATTTGAGAATTCTGTTTCCGATATGGCTGTCTTGATATTGACAGTTGTGACAACAGGCAATGCCCAGTGATATACGAAATGACACTATGACACTAGGGCCTATATCTACATGTACTGTCATAGTGGTGATTGTGCCGGCGATAATGAAGATGCCAATCATTGCTAAATTGCTGCTCGACAAAGCGAAGAGAAAAAGGCAAACGCAGCAACCATGACAACCATTCACACGGGCGTCGCTTGTCTTATAGTTTGTTCAGTTGACCTACATGATATATTCTCATCACTAGCTAATTTAATGTACACGGAACTTCCTTCCTGTTTATGTGTAGAAATGTTAAAAAGGGTTTGTGTGTGGCCGGCCCTGACGTAAAGATCTCGGTGCGTGAGTGCGGCCTGCAAAAACTTTTGCCCCGAATAGCAAATAATAAGGTTGCAGACCAGTAAATCGGTCCGAAATTGCCTACGCCGGCCAAATCACGATTTGCATGAGTAGTAGGGGAGGTGGGGGAACCGGAGCAAAATGGAAAAAATCTGCGGCAAGCCTGAGCACGCCGCTCTCGATTCTAAAAATAGTTGGGGAAAAATATAGGGGAATCCCCCGATCTCAAAAAAAAAAAATCTGACGCCGGGTGTGGGGGAGAAAAAAAAAAAAAAAAAAAAAAAAAACTGACGCCGGGTGTGAGAGAAAAAAAAAAAAAAAAAAAAAATCTGACGCCGGGAGAGAGAGAGAGAGAGCAAAAAAAAAAAAAAAAAAAAAAAAAAAAAAAATCTGACGTCGGGAGAGAGAGAGAGAGAGAGAGAAAAAAAAAAAAATATCTGTCATCGCTAAAATGAGGTGATGTCACCACCACGTGACCTTGAAAAATATGTGAGTCACCACCACGTGACCTTGAAACGTGTTGAGGCACGATAGAAATTTGGCGTAAACAACGCGACCTTGAAAAATGTGTGAGTCACCACCACGTGACCTTGAAACGTGTGTGAGTCACCACAACGTGACCTTGAAACTCGAGACAAAAAAAATTAGCTCCTTACCCTGTAAAAGGTGAGGAGCTGTTTTTTAATATAAAAATGGAGAGTAATATGTTTAGACCGACGAGTATTTGAAAAATGAATAAAAAATAATATCGGTTTTTATTAAATAGATGGAATACTTTGGGACGTCACAACTTGGGGATAAGTGCGATCATCATATAATCATCGAGAATGGTTTTTTAGTTTGTGAAACGTGCGGTGAAATAGTCTCACGTTACTTTGATTTTTCGGCAGAAAATGCGCAAGAAGATCGTATCAATTGGTCAATTTTAAAACGAAACAAAAGAAAAACTGTGGACAAACTTGTTTTGTCTGTGTGCCCAGAGCAAGGCTCAGAAGATGTCCAAGAAACAATCAATAAATATAACGAGCTCGTTAATTACAAAACATTGAGGGGAAATGGTTGCGTCAAACGATCATTAATAGCGGCGTGTTATCATCACGTCGCTGGATTAGACAAAGAACGAGTTAGAGATTTATTTAAAGTGACTCAAAATCAATTTAATAAGGCACTAAAAAGATACGATGACCACTACAATAAAGGCGGGGCTGAGGGTGTAGCCCTAAGAGGTGAAATAGAGGTATAACTCGGTGGTTCGCTTTCATAATGTTTATTTACCGTGAATTTGAACTTGTAAGTTTTTCGATAAGAGATTTTTTTTCTTTTGCCAGCCGTTCGTCTACCCGTTTTTTAACTTCTTTTTCAAAGTCTGTATCGTTTTTAATCTTTTGAAGCTTTGTGCTGGTTTTTGTTCTAATTTTCTGCTTAAGCTCGTTAAATTTTGCGAGCTCTCTCGTAATCAGTAAGAACTCTTCGTGCGATATATCTCCGTCGTTGATGGCTTGAGACACGTATTCTTCAATCGTGTTAAGTTTGGAGTCTGCTAATATTTTAATCTGGTCGTGCTTTTTCAGCTTGGCGGATAATCGCCTAGACGCGATTCTAAGCAGAATATCTACACCAAAAGCGCCTATAAACGTTCCTTCTAACACCAATCCAACGGGGGCTGATATAACACCCAAGAGAGCGGGAATACCGACAGCCCCCGCTATAGCCCCCAATCCTTCTAATCCTATCTCTACGTAATTAATAGTGTCGATCACTCTCTTTATTTTTTTATAGGTGCGCTCTCGATGGTCTCTCTCTTTCAAGATTAAAGATCGAATCTCTTCAATCTTTTTAAGTCTGTACACTTTTGTTTCTTCGTTAACGTTACTATTTAATCGGAGTACATCTCCAGAAATATCGGGGTATAAAGCCTTACTATCTATACTCATGTTTTAATATAAAAAGATTTTAAAATTAAAAGATCTCCAACTCGATAATGATACCCTCACCCTTGTTGTTGAATACCTGTCCTTTTTCACCGCTGATAGAAAATGTCAGTTTGTCGATTATACCGTTTTTAAGATTTTTGAATCCCTCGGCTCTATCAATATCGGGTTTGCGCGTAGCCACGGGTACGATTTTTAAGATGTCAGAAGGACGACCATTAAAAAAGTTTTCACTCGTTGTAAATGTATCCTGATGAATACACTTTTTGGAATAGCGCCCTCTGTTGAGGGACAGTGTACCGCATAGCAACTAAAAACGCAATGGACGACCTCATGGTAGCTAATCTTTTCGACACCGACTTTAATCGTTTTGAATCTGAAATCTGCTGATGATACTGATCATTAATCACAATAGGATGCAAGGAGGTAACTTTCTGATGATTATATTGTCTTATGCAAGAAGTATTGTCTTTGAATTGGATATGATTTTATGATAATTTTGCGACTGAATTCTTAGTAATTCGCAACATGATAGAGATGATTACTTGTGTGTGCTCTAACCCAGTCCCGCTTTCTGATAATGTTAATCACACTTAAACATGTAATCAATGTACACTCTCGACATAATTTTGATTGTACTTTGTGATTTACTCTGGTTTATTCACAGTTTTCACGGAGCCAATAAATACATGTAGAACCTGATGAGGCTTTTGTCGAAACCCTTGCATTTCTATGACCTGCGACCTATGACCCACACCTGTGCGATTCCCCAGCTGTAGCACTAGAATTGAGGAGCTATACCACCTGAAGTGCTGCCGCTACAGTGAAAACTCCTAGCTGCTAAATGCAATCATCGCTCCTCTCCATTTGATGCCAGCACTGCTCAACTGAGGCTGCAGCATTCAGATGACCAGGCATGCTGAGAGTTTGAGACTCCTCTGATGTAGGCGTTGACATCCAAGCAACTCCCGCCCACATTTGACATCTGACATCTGATGAAGAGCAGCCCCTCGCTGAGCCAGAACTCCTGTGAACTCTGAGCGTCTGGGAACATGGAATTATGTGAACTGTTGAATACATGTCCATTCAATTGCCTAGTTTCATTACCCCGTGATAATTTACATACATGTACAGTGATTGCTGCATTGAGTATGTTTTCTTGGATTTGTTATGTTGTAATGCTCGAGTATAAACATTTGTATTACGACATTTGCAGATGTATTTTCAGTAATTTGATATGTTGCAAATAGATTGGTATATGTTCATGTACACATGCAGATGATAACATGTTTACAGGCATGTTGGAGAGTTTAATCCATTTGTTGGAAGTTTAATATTGAAAGGTAGTTTGAGATTTTGCGACTGCAATTCCTTATACACGTACATGTATGCTAAATGTAGTGTGTTTGACTAAGGTGGCCTATAGAGGACCTTGTATATTGTTGCTTGTTCTCTTAAGATTTTACATGCACTACGTGTAAGTCACCTTGTACCGTTATCATGTCGTCAAAGGACAAAACAGAGAAGACTGAACCAGGTTCTCCAAGTACGCCAATACCCTTTTCGATTTCAACACCAACTACTTCCTACGGAGATCAAGAAATTGGTTCTGCAGCCACTTTAGAGTCGACTATTGGAGACCATCAGCTGATGAAGAGGAAACAAGGGCACATTCACGAGGCTGACACTAGATCCGAACTATCCGTTCGAACCAAGTCATCACGCCGAACATGTTCTTCCCAATTGTCCATGGTTTCCACAAAGGCTGCCCTTGCAGCCGAAGCAGCTGCTTTAAAGACACGGCTTCAGTACGCCGATGCTGAAAATGCAAAGAAGGCTGAACTAGAAATGAAGCATGCTGAGCTTGAAAAGCTACGCACCATGCGAGACCTCCAGGTAACTGAAGCCAAACTGGATGCTATTTGTAGGGTGCAGCAAGAAGAAAATGCTCATCCCAGCATTAGCGAAATGGTGGAACCAGAAGATAAAGACGTGATGATGGAGAATTATCTTGGATCATTTCAGACATCAAATCACAACTCTGATGACTGCGTAGTCTCCGAAGGACTAACGACAACAGGGACACACGTCGTCCCAACTGCGACAACAGGGACACATGTCGTCCCAACTGCGACCCTGGGCATGCAACTTGCCCCAACTGCGACAACAGGGACACATGTCGTCCCAACTACGACCTCGGGCATGCAACTTGCCCCAACTGCGACTCCGGGCTCATATTTTGCGCCAACTGCGACAACAGGGACACATGTCGTCCCAACTGCGACCTCGGGCATGCACCTTGCCCCAACTGCGACTCCGGGCTCATATTTTGCCCCAACTGCGACAACAGGGACACATGTCGTCCCAACTGCGACCCTGGGCATGCACCTTGCCCCAACTGCGACAACAGGGACACATGTCGTCCCAACTGCGACCTCGGACATGCACCTTGCCCCAACTGCGACTCCGGGCTCATATTTTGCCCCAACTGCGACAACAGGGACACATGTCGTCCCAACTGCGACCTCGGGCATGCACCTTGCCCCAACTGCGACTCCGGGCTCATATTTTGCCCCAACTGCGACAACAGGGACACATGTCGTCCCAACTGCGATCCCGGGCATGCAACTTGCCCCAACTGCGACAATAGGGACACATGTCGTCCCAACTGCGACCCCGGGCATGCAACTTGCCCCAACTGCGACAACAGGGACACATGTAGCCCATCCTGCGACCCCAGGTATCCAACTAGTCCCAACTGCGACTACAGAACCACATAGTGCCGAACAGTCGTCAACAGCACACATACTTGGCATAACAAAATGCCTGGTAGATCAGCTCAGCCTGAGTCGTTTGCCCCCTCCAGAGCCTGGACTTTTCTCTGGGGACCCGCTCAAATTTCCGAGTTGGAAAAGTAGTTTTGAAACACTGATCGAGCGCCGAGGAATACCTCCATCAGAACGCCTTCACTACCTCAAGAAATACTTGGCAGGGTCTGCGAAGGATGTTGTCGAAGGCTTCTTCCTGTTGTCAGAGGACGATGCCTACCTCAAAGCGAAGGAACTTCTCCAACAGAGATTTGGTGACCCCTTCATTGTAGCGAGCGCCTTCCGGGATAAGTTAGATTCCTGGACTAAGATTAACTCCAGAGATGGTACAGGCCTTCGACGTTTTGCGGACTTCTTGCGACAGTGTGAAGCTGCGATGCAAACCATCCAAAGCTTGAAGATTCTCAATGATGAAAGGGAGAACAGGAAATTGCTCACTAAGATACCGGAGTGGCTGGTTGCACGGTGGTCCCGAAAAGCAGCGGAATCAAAGGAAATCAAGAAGAGATTCCCTCCTTTTAGTGAATTTGTGAGCTTCATAACAAGAGAGGCCAACATCGCATGTGACCCAGTCACATCACTCCAGTCTGTGAAAGCAATTGACAAGCCTGACGAATCAAATAGCTCCAGGACAAGCCGAGGAAAGGAAAGGGGTTTTGAGAAGAGAAGTTCATTCTCTACAGATGTGACCAAGGCAACTCGGGAGAGAGTGTCCAAACCACAGACATGTTTCCTGTGCAACAAAGAAAATCATCACTTGAGTGAATGCAAGATATTCCTTTCCAAGTCATTGACAGAGAGGAAAGACTTTGTGATGAAAAATGGACTGTGCTTCGGCTGCCTATGTCGAGGCCACAGATCTAAGGAGTGCCGCTACAGGAAGACATGCAGTACCTGTGCCAAGAAACATCCCACTGCACTCCATGGCGATGTCAAGAAGCAAGATAAACAAGATGCACAGACGAAACCAGAGCATCCACCAGTGGTGTCAACGAGCTCACATACAAGAATAAGCCATCTCAATAAAACATCAGAAGGCAGCAAAGCATCCATGATTGTTCCAGTGTGGATATCCCATCAAGACAGCCCTGAAAGGGAACGCTTAATCTACGCTCTGCTTGACACACAGTCGGACACAACCTTCATTCTGGACAGCACATGTAAAGCTATCGGAGCTGAAGGACCTAAGGTACAGCTGTTGTTGTCCACTATGTATTCCAAGAACGAGCGAGTTGACTCTAAAAAGATCGAAGGTCTACAAGTTCGTGGTCACGACAGTGAAGTTGGAATAAGTCTCCCTGCAACATTCACAAGAGATGTCATGCCGGCAAATCGCTCCCATATCCCTACTACCAGAATGGCTGACAATTGGCCACATCTGCAGATGATGGCGAACGAATTGATGCCATTGTCAGACTGTGAAATTGGGTTGCTGATCGGCTACAACTGCGCCCGGGCACTTGCGCCTCGGGAAGTGATACCCCCTACCGATGATGAGCCCTTTGCTCAGAGAACAGACCTGGGGTGGGGTATCGTCGGCATCGTGAACCCTGATTCAGATGACTGTGACAACAGCGTGGACCCCATCGGCGTAAGCCACAGAGTCCTCTCATGCGAAGCCCCATATGATGATTCTGACGAGTTAGCAGTACAGAGTCATTCTCTGATCTCCTTCAAAACTCGAGTCAAGGAAGTTATTAGCCCTCTGGACATAACAGAGATGATGAGCCTGGATTTTTCAGAGCGACCTTCAGAGGACAAACCCTTTTCACAAGATGACAAGAAGTTTCTTGCCAAGGTAAAGGAAGGAATCCATCAGCGGCCAGACGGCTACTATGAAATGCCTCTACCCTTTCGAGAGAGCAGCCCAGACCTTCCAAACAACAAGTCACTGGCTCTGCATCGCTTGAACTATCTCAAGTGCCGATTCAGGAAGAATCCAAGGTTCTATGATGACTACAACTCCTTTGTAGGTGATATCATACAGAAAGGCCATGCAGAACGAGTACCAGTTGGAGATTGCAGCAGTAACAAGGCCGGGGTGTGGTACATTCCCCACCACGGCATCTATCATCCGAAAAAACCAGGAAAGATCCGCGTGGTCTTCGACTGCAGCGCAACATTCAAAGGAGTGTCTTTGAACGGCCATCTTCTGCAGGGCCCAGATATGATCAACAACCTTGTTGGCATACTGTGCAGATTCCGGCAAAATCCCATTGCATTCATGTGTGATGTGGAGCAAATGTTCCACCAGTTTAAGGTAAACTGCGAACACCGCGACTATCTGAGGTTCCTTTGGTGGGAAGGTGGAGACTTCAATACTGATCCTTTGGAGTACAGAATGTGTGTACACTTGTTTGGGGCCGTATCGTCCCCTGGATGTGCCAACTTTGGCTTGAAGTCCATTGCAGAGGACTACTGGAGCGAGTGCGGAGAGCAGGCAGCCCAATTTGTCCAACGAGACTTCTATGTAGATGATGGGTTGAAGTCCGTCTGCTGTTCTAGCGAAGCCATCAGTCTTATCAACCAAACCAAGGATCTATGTTCACGAGGTGGGCTCCACCTTCACAAATTCGTGTCCAACTCCCGGGATGTGATGGAGTGTATCGAGCCAAAGCAGCGAGCAAAGGGCATCCAGGACCTCGATCTAATTCACGATACTCTCCCGGTTGAAAGAGCTTTAGGTGTCCAGTGGTGCGTAGAGTCTGACTGTTTCAATTTCCGCATCACTCTACAAGATAAGCCCTTGACGAGACGAGGCATCCTGTCGACAATCGGATCTATCTATGATCCACTAGGCTTTGTTGCACCTGTGCTGCTGACGGGAAGAAGAATCTTACAAGATCTATGTAGAAATCAAGTCGACTGGGATTCACCACTAGACGACGAGATCAGGTCACGCTGGGAGTGCTGGAGAGGAAGTCTCCCTCGCCTCGAAGAGCTGAAGATACCCCGATGCTACCAGCCAGACACCTTTGGAAATGTGGTGTCTAGAGAACTCCATCACTTCTCAGATGCCAGTACTGTTGGCTACGCACAGTGTACCTACCTTAGGCAGACTGATGATCAAAACAGAGTCCACTGTTCACTTGTGATGGGAAAGAGTCGAGTGACCCCCTTGAAACTGACTACAATACCAAGGCTCGAGCTCACGGCAGCAGTGGTGTCTGTCAGAGTGGGTTCCCTCCTTGCCAGAGAGCTGGACATTGACGCAAGACACTTCTACTGGACTGATAGCAAGATCGTGCTGGGCTACATCAACAACGAGACCCGAAGATTCCATGTCTTTGTGGCAAACAGAGCTCAGCAAATAAGGAATCATTCAGACCCCAGCCAATGGAGACATGTTGCTTCCGAAGAAAATCCAGCAGACGAAGGTTCAAGAGGCATCACACCCTCGGAGCTTGCAACTTCCAAGTGGCTCAAGGGACCAGCATTCCTGTGGGAAGAAAATCTCCCCATGGAACAAAACCCAGGCTACCAACTCATTGAAGGCGATCCAGAAGTTAGGGCCGTACAAGTCATGGCGACACAGTCAACACTGCCTGCGATAGATCTGACACGCTTTTCAGACTGGCGCCAAGCTAAGCGAGTCATTGCTACCTGCATAGACTTCAAGAAAAGGCTTCAAAATCGCCATGAGAGGATATCTCCAGAGGTAACCCAGAATGATGGCCAACAGATGGCAGCCATCCCCGACAAAGAACGTCTCACTGTCCAAGACATACAACATGCTGAGATCCAGATACTCAAACTCACACAGAAGGAAGCATTTCCTCGAGAATTGCATGCACTTTCAGATCTCGATGTAAATGACAGTGACATCGACAGACACACAGCGAGAAAACGGAATCGTACCCTGAAGAAGACTAGCTCTCTCTTCAGACTTGATCCCTTTATAGATGAGGATGGCGTTATGAGAGTTGGTGGGCGCATCCAGAAAGCAGAAACATCGTTTGGCTTCAAGCATCCAGCAATTCTTCCTCGTAAACACTGCGTCACAGAGATGATAGTCCGTTACTTTCATCAGCAAGTCGCCCACCAAGGTCGAGGCATGACAACACAAGCTGTAAGATCTAATGGCTTCTGGATAATCGGCTGCAGTTCAGCGGTGGCCAGTTTGATTCATCGATGCGTAAAGTGTCGCAGATTGTATAGTAAACCTGGAGAGCAGAAAATGGCCAATCTCCCCGAAGATAGACTCCAGCCTGCGCCGCCTTTCACTTACTGTGGCGTTGATTACTTTGGGCCATGGACCGTAAAGGAAGGTAGAAGGGAAGTGAAACGGTATGGGGTGTTATTCACCTGCATGGCATCAAGGGCAATCCATATCGAAGTGGCCAACTCCCTCACCACGGATGCTTTTATCAATGCTCTGCGTCGCTTCACCGCTGTGCGCGGGTCAGTAAGACTACTTAGATCAGATCAAGGCACCAACTTCGTCGGTGCAGAGTCAGAACTGAAGAGAGCTCTGGAAGAAATTGACCAGACCAAAGTTCAACACTTCCTTGAAGGAAAGGGATGTGACTACCCTACTACAAAGATGAATGCTCCTTCAGCAAGTCACGCAGGAGGGGTTTGGGAGAGACAAATTAGATCAGTGAGGAGAGTGCTCAATGCCCTTGTGGATCAGCATGGGACGCAACTCGATGACGAATCACTAAGGACTCTTATGTGTGAGTGTGCAGCAATCGTCAATGGTCGACCCTTGTCAGTTGACAACCTAAATGACCCTAAATCGCCAGAACCACTCACTCCCAACCATTTGCTTACCTTGAAGTCCAGCGTCATCCTCCCACCACCAGGTACATTTCAATGCGTTGATGTGTACTCTAAGAAACGTTGGAGAAGGGTCCAACACCTGGTTAACGAGTTTTGGGCTCGATGGAAGAAAGAGTATCTACATACCCTTCAAGTGCGTCAGAAATGGACCAAGGAGAAACCGGAAGTGAAAGTGGGAGACGTCGTCATAATCATGGATGATAACCTACCACGTAACCAATGGCAGCTCGGTCGAGTGACAGAAGTCTTTCCGAGTACCGACGGGCACGTTCGAAGAGCAAAGCTCGCTGTAGCTGATTCTACCTTGGATGCCAAAGGCAAGAAGACCCGTCCATCCAGATTTCTCGAACGCCCAATTCAGAAGCTCGTTGTCCTTCTGGAAAGCCAGTAGCAGGAAACCGGAATCCCCACCGGGAAGCCTTTGATTACCCTTAATTTGTGGTATATGTAATCTCAGTAACCCAGTACACTGTTCTTTAGAAAGTTTAGATCCTGTTTAGTTATTGAGACCTATAAGGTGTTGGCACCGGTTAGTGCCCGTTTGATTTAAACCTGCTAATATACATGTGTTACTAGCTTAAAGGGTTCTTGCTGATTGTATTCTAATTGTTGACAGTGTTCCCTTTTTGATGTTAAAATTAGATTGCTAATTTTGGGGAGCCATGTAAATGTATCCTGATGAATACACTTTTTGGAATAGCGCCCTCTGTTGAGGGACAGTGTACCGCATAGCAACTAAAAACGCAATGGACGACCTCATGGTAGCTAATCTTTTCGACACCGACTTTAATCGTTTTGAATCTGAAATCTGCTGATGATACTGATCATTAATCACAATAGGATGCAAGGAGGTAACTTTCTGATGATTATATTGTCTTATGCAAGAAGTATTGTCTTTGAATTGGATATGATTTTATGATAATTTTGCGACTGAATTCTTAGTAATTCGCAACATGATAGAGATGATTACTTGTGTGTGCTCTAACCCAGTCCCGCTTTCTGATAATGTTAATCACACTTAAACATGTAATCAATGTACACTCTCGACATAATTTTGATTGTACTTTGTGATTTACTCTGGTTTATTCACAGTTTTCACGGAGCCAATAAATACATGTAGAACCTGATGAGGCTTTTGTCGAAACCCTTGCATTTCTATGACCTGCGACCTATGACCCACACCTGTGCGATTCCCCAGCTGTAGCACTAGAATTGAGGAGCTATACCACCTGAAGTGCTGCCGCTACACTCGTACTTAATTGCGGGCAGTGAATAAACAAAAATTTAAACGGATTAACGTCGTAAGACCCCGTATACACCACTTTGGGTACCAGTCTTCCTTTGGGTAAATTGAGTAATCGAGATACTTCTCTGTTCAAGCGCAATTTGAGATTTACGTCGGTTATCACCAATGTCACCTTTTTAGATTCTCTAAATATTCGAAAACTTACCCCGGGTATAGAATTTAAAATGAAATCGAACCAATCGACGTCGTACCACCCCGGTGCTATGATGACCGAACCGGTGACTCCGAGTGGCAACGGCTCTAAATGACTCGGAGGAATAAAATCTAAATCCTCACCCGTCACGATAAGACTTCCCCTGATAATTACCCCTGCTTCCCTACTATCTCTCAACTCGCTCAATTCGCTCGCACCCATTTCTCCTTCAATAAACTTTAAAGCCAATTCCTCACCTTCAAAGATTTTTCTTTCTCTAACAAATAATATTCTTACTAAAGATTGAAGCGTATTAAGTTCTAATTCAGTTTTTGGTATTTCTGAATTCATGGCGGCTAAAATCAACCCTCGCCGTTCAGCTATAATAGCTCTTTTTCTTTTGTTTGATTCTAAAACGGATTCTAGTCTATCGTCTTCGTACGCTTTTATAAGATCGTTTATAGTTTTTTGTAAAACATTTTCATCGTTAATTAAAAAGTGGTATGGTATATCGGGTAACAATCGCTCTATAAAATCTCTATCTGGCGTTCTTATGTGTACATCTGAAAGAAACTCCGCGGGTATGAGGGGAGGTTTATCCGTGGTAAACGCGGGTCTCCCATCTATTTGCGTAAACCAGTCAATCTCCGTGGCGCTGGAAATATTAAAATATCCGGCGTTAAACAACACCCTTTTTACGCGTATAGATTTTTGACCGTTTAAATTATCTACGACGTCTTCTAATTTAAACGTCTGCTCATTTTGAAACAAGTGAAACGAATGCATTTATTTTAAAGTCTTTTTATATTAAAACTGAAACTAAAATAATGAGTGATTTTAAGTCGTTAAAAAAGCAGATACAATCGATAGCTGATCAGGTAACGAAACAAGTAAATCAAAATGTAGCTAAACGACAAGCTACCACCCCAGCGCATGTACTAGACAGTCCGTATCTCACTGGCGAACTCGAGATTACGGTCAACGCGTCTAACACGTTTTTAACCCCGTTTCCCGACTTAATCTCGGACTATAAAATATCTCGCCTCAATACCAACGATGCTGTACTTCGTTGGAAAATAGACCCCATGTCTTTTTATCAAAATCAGTTAAACTTTGCGATCTATTGCGCTACAACGGGCTGTGGTGTTGGAATCGATATTTTAAACTCGAACAACCGTTACGTTAAAGCCTTATTTAATTTTCATCTATACTTTACGGTGAGAAGGATATTAAACGACATGGCCGTAGCAATACCGGGAGAAGACTCGTTTGACGCTCTCAGCAACACCTATGATCGTGGAGCATTTACCAACATCTGTCGGACGTTTGCCATCGATCAAAATAAGTCTTTTAAACAGACGAGAGATCAAAAGACTTATGGCTTAGGTCGGCTTTTTCTTTGGAACGAAAAAACAAAATCATTTTTACTCTTGCCGTTAGACTATGATAAAAACACGACCACACTCGACGATTTTATCAACCCCACGGGTGATAAAAATTGGGGTTTAGACGATCCAAAAAAACACGATGCTTTTTTTAAGCATTGGAGGGGTTATCTCGAACAAGACGACATCGTCAAAATGGCTTGGTTAGATTTTATACCCACCAAGAGTTCGTTTACCTCCGCGGGAATCATAAAGATCAACGAATCGATCAGATCTTACGTGTACGCTTTACTCGGTGCGCAGGCTCAAACAAAAACGAGCGTATTATCACCGGGCACCGGATTAGACGCTCAAAGACAATTTAACGTCATCGTTGAAGATATCATCAATGCAGTAGACGACATGGAAACGAGTATCGATCAATTTCAAGACTCTTTGCAGTATGCCAGAACGCCTTTAAATTTTGTCGTGAAACCGGGGTTGTATTTAATTCCATCGGATATGAACTTGAGGGTTGGAACGCACGACGGCTATAACAACAATCTTCAAATCGCTACCCAGAGTATGAAAACTGGTTTGGTGCCAGATTTAAACTCACAACCTCAACCGGACGACTCTTTTGATGACACCGATGACGTCGCGCCACCTACACCTCCAGAGCCTATGACGAACGATGTTGTTGCACCAGCACCAACACCAGCACCAACACTAACACCCTCACCAACACCAGCACCTACACCCTCACCAACACCAGCACCTACAGTTTTAACCCAAGAACCCACGAAACTACAAACTCACCAAGACGAAAAATTATCGTTGACGGTAGGAATATTGGCTATCGTTGGCATGGGTATTTTAGCTTACGAGGCAACGCGATAAGTCACACTCTAATCACACACACAAAAAAAAAAAAAAGCCTTACCAACTTTGTGCTGGTAAGGCTTATTTTTTTGTTGTTTTTTTGTTTAAACTTGATTACAACTATTACTACCATCGTTTTTGCAGGTACGCAAACACCAAGGCCCCCACACCCAAAAACAAAGCCCACACGTGTTCGGCCAACCACGATACGGACTTACTCAGCGCGTTAAATATCCAACTCAGTACGCTGCCTATGATACCCGGCAGAGCACCCAATGCGCTCACTCCGAGTTTTTGAAGAGCAGATGCAAAATTAGCGAGTTGTTTTGAAATCCACTCTTTGATACCGCCTTTTGGTGGTGTTGGTGTTGGTGTTGGTGTTGGCGATGGTGCGGGTGGGGCACCAGCACCTCTCACGCTAGCGACGATGCTACTCACTATCGTGCTGATGGCTAAACTCAAAGCGGCTAAAATACTCACTACGGTCACACCTTGTTCTCTAAACAGAGTTCTAATCTTTTCTGCCAGAGTCGTGTCGTTGCCTAATATTTTATTAATCGTTTCTTTGATTCTAGCGATCTGACTTTTGAGCCCTCGTTCGTTGGTTTTTGCGGTTTCTAATCTGGCGGATCTTTCGACGTCTAAGTCGCTCAATTTATCGTTTAACTCTCGTCGTTCTTCTTCGCTGATCCTATGATCACCTAATTCATGTTCGGCATCAAATATCTCTTGGTCTAGTTCTGTGAGACGCGCTAAATTAAGTTCTAGGTTACCTCTCAACGTCTGAAGACTTTTGTCTAAACCCTGGAGTTCTCTGTAATTTAATCCTTCTGTTTGAGCGCCGGTGTCGCGTTGTAAATCGTCTATAATCTCGGTTACCTCATCGGTGGCTCTGGGTAGTTCTGTCATGGGGATACTCTCGGGTTGTACCTTTTCGAGTTTATCTTTTAGTTTGACAAGTAGTGTTGGTTTATAGTCAGCGATTTTGAGGGTGTCGCGAATAAATGCGGTACCATATTTATTTTGTAAGGTACTTAATTTGTAATATATTCTTTGACCACCTCGTCTATAAGATAATGGTTCTCGACCTTTATATGTTTTAACGTATAGATTTCTGTCTTTACCAATTTCAAAATCGTTGGGGTCGATAAACGCGGGGTCTATATTATTTTGTTTGTAAAATGAATCAACATCTTCTTTTATTACTTTTATAGATAATCTGCTTATTGTTCCCGTGCCGAGGACGCTTTCTGTGTCTACCGGTGGTGTAGTAGTATCAAAGTCGTCATCTACATTGGTCTCTGCTACATCATCATCGTCATAATCATCTGTTCTTTCGTAGTCTGGATCATAAAATCCTCCCTCATCCATTTATTTAATAAACCTATTTAAATTATGCCGTTTTCATTATACTGCCCGGTAGTATACCCTGTGTCACCAACCAATTTTGCGTGGCCAGAGCTCCACTTATAATGCCCGTCAATTTAGCCGCATCTTCTACGCTTAGTTTGCTCAAATCCGGCGCTTTCATTTTGAGTAGTTTATTTCCTACCATGGCGTATCCCATCACCAGACCCGATATGACGGCTCCGTGATAAATCGTATTAGCTATTCCGTTTGTGTCAAAGTTACTCATCGTTTTTAATATAACAATTTTTAAATTGCTGGCTTAGCTACAGACCTAAAAGGTCCGATCTATTCCATGTCTAGCGTTTTGGGGGCGCTGGGTGTAGTGGGTTGTGTGACTACCGGCACTGGCTGTATAACCGGCGCAGTTGCCTTACTTTTTAGTAACAGCAACCCCACTCCTATTATAGACGCTATAGCCCCCCACATCACCCAAGAGTTGTAGTCTGGTGAGCTCGTAGCTTCGTCCGATGTTACGTTCATTTTTGCTAATTTTAATTTCATCTGTCTATTGTGCTCGGCTAAAGCTTTACCCTGCTGTATTCGTTTAGGATTTTTAGTCTTGGTCACTCTCGTTACCGTCGGTGACGACGTTGTTTTTATCGGTTGGGGCGTCTCTGTCTCTGCTGGTTGAGCTGTGATCGCTGCTTGTTGATCTTCCATTTATTATATTAGGTTTATTAAATTTCAAATGTTTTGTTGTGATAATCGTAGCAACTAGGGGTGATATTAAAGTTCCGTACTTGTAACAAACGTCGCTCAACATACCAGCCATACTCGCGCTTATAATAGGATCGGAACTCAAGTCGTTGGTGAGTTCTTCTTCAGAATCTATAGTGACGTTATATCCTAAAACTTGTACGGGTGTAACC